CCTAGACAGCATATTAAAAATCAGAGACATTACTTTATCAACAAAGGTCTGTCTAGTCAAGGCTATGGTTTTTCTAGTAGTCATGTATGGATGTGAGAGTTGGACCATAAAGAAAGCTGAGTGCTGAAGAACTGATGCTTTTGAACTGTGGTGTTGGAGAAGACTCTTGAGAGTCCCTTGGACATCAAGGAGATTTCCTAAAGGAAATCAGTCCTGAATATTTACTGAAGGACTGATGCTGAAGCTGAAACTTCAATACTTTGGCCACCTGATGCAACAAACTGACTCTTTGAAAAAGACCCTGATGCTGGGAAAGATTGAAGGCAGGAGGAGAAGGGGATGACAGAGAATAAGATGGTGGGATGGCGTCACCGTCTCGAGGGACATGAGCTTGAGTAAACTCTGGGAGTAGGTGATGGACAGGGAGGCCTGGCGTGCTGCAGTCCATGTTGTCGCAAAGAGTCGCACACGATTAAGCGACTGAACTGAACTTATTGGAGAAACCATAGCTTTGACTGCATGGACCTTTGTAGGCAAAGCAATGTCTCTGCTTTTTAATACACCGTCTACGTTCGTCATAGCTTTTCTTCCCAGCAGCAAGAGTCTTTTATTTTCATGGCTGCAGTCACCATCTGCAGTGATTTTGGAGCCAAAGAAAATAAAGTCTTTCACTGTTTCCATTTTTTCCCCATCTGTTTGCCTTGAAGTGGTGGGACCAGATGCCATGATCTTTGTTTTTGAATGTTGAGGTTTAAGCCAGCTTTTTCACTGTCGACTTTCACCTTCATCAAGAGGCTCTTTAATTCCTCTTTGCTTTCTGCCATAAAGTAATGTCATCTGCATATCTGAGGTTATTGATATTTCTCCTGGCAATCTTGATTCCAGTTTGTGCTTCATCCAGCCCGCCATTTCTCATGATGTACTCTGCCTAGAAGTTAAATAAGCAGGGTGATGATATACAGCCTTGATGTACTGCTTTCCCAATTTAGAACCAATCTATTGTTTCATGTCCAGTTCTAACTGTTGCTTCTTGACCTGCACACAGCTTTCTTAGGAGGCAGATAAGATGGTCTGGTATTTCCATCTCTTTAAGAATTTTCCACAGTTGGTTGTGATCTACACAGTCAAAGGCTTTAGTGTAGTCAGTGAAGCAGAAGCAGATGTTTTTCTGATATTCTCTAGCTTTCTCTATGGTCCAGTTGATCAAATTGGCAATTTGATCTCTGATTTGTCTGCCTTTTCTAAATCCTGCCTGTACATCTGGGAGTTCCCTGTTCGCATACTGCTGAAGCCTAGCTTGAAGGATTTTGAGCATTACGTTTCTAGCATTACCAGTGCTAAGGGGAGGGCAGAATGGGGAACAATTGCTTAATGGTTAGGGTTTCTATTTGGGATCACAAAAAATTCTGGAATTGACAGTGGTGAAGGTTACATATGAATGTTCTTAATGTCACTGAATTGCACACTTAGAAATGAGTTAAAATGGCTAATTTTGTTATATACATTTTAACATTTAAAAAGTGAAAAAAAATTATAGTACCAAAAAAATCAGCTAAATCCAAAAGAACGCAGGAATGGAGGAAAGCAGGGGCTGAAAAGTACAAGACCGGCTTGTTACTGGCACTGCTGGCTTGGTTTTGTGGCCAAGCTCCACACAATGTGTCCCCGGGTTAGTCTGGAATGTGGGACAGGGCCTCAGCACTGAGCAGGAGGTGTTCTGAGGTGCTTGCCATATTTCTGCGATGGTTAAGTAGTTGTGGGACTTTGGTTGCAGCCCCAAGTAGCTAGGCATCTCCACAGTTAACCTTCCTGAACAAGCAGCATTCTGTCTATTTATGTATCCACTGACATTTGTCAGTATTGGACCAGTGTTGGAAGTGGAGATGTCCATTAGACAGTGGTGAGCATAGGTTGGAACTCATACTACAAGAATATAAAATGCCCATGGAAACTGATTTCAGGCATACCTGATAGTCTATCAAGGTAGACTTCTATGGGGAAATCCTCAATATGTTCATCTTTGGCTGTCTCAGACAGGAAAAAACTTTGGCTCTTTATTTTATTATTTTTTTCCTTTGGCTCTTTAGATTCACTTATTTCAGCAATTCAAGGTTATACTGAGTAAGCTAAGAAATGCCTAGATTTACCAGACTAGATGTGAAACAATGAAGACAATTTCTTCTAGGCTTCTGAAAGCAAAATAATGAATGACCACCAGTGAGAGATAATTTTATATTTTCAGTCACTGTTTCCTAGTATTTTACTGCTCATAACTATGCAATCTCACCTGGTTATATTTAATTTTATTTTCACCTTAGTTATATTTTTTAAATCAAACATTTTCCTAAATCTGTGAATTAAACAGTATAATGTAGTTACCACATCATGCTTCAACTGTCAAGTTAAATTCATCATGAGCTATTATTAAAAAGACTTTATCTTTAAAAATAAAAAATTTTAGTGTATTATATTAAAATCTCTTTCAAAATTTTCTAAAATATACCACTAGAAAGGTCATTTTTAAAGTGCCTTATATGGAAATAAAATAAATATAAGTATAGTTGTAAAGGCAAGTCACTAATTTGAGATGAGACCTACCATTCTCACGGTAAAACCAAGAATGTATGTCCTTGCATAGACTGTGCTGCTAAACAGAGAAGGCTCATAAAAGAAAAAACATTAGGTCATATGGTTTATTTTTGGTTTTTTAGATCTATACTGTCTTCCACAGTGGCTGCACCAATTTTACATTCCCACCTACGTGTACAAGAGTTCCTTTTTCTCCACATTCTCACCAACATTTGTTATTTGTGTTCTTTTCGATGATAGTCATTCTGATTTGTGTGAGGTGATTTCTCACTCTGGTTGTGATTTGCATTTCCCGCATTAGTGATGTTGAACATCTTTTTACATGCCTGATGGCAGTTTTTAAATGTGCATTTTGTCCTTGGAAAAATGCCTATTGAGTTCTTCTGCCCACTTTTCAATTGCTTTTTTTTGGTAAATGTATTTTTTAAACTTTTAAAATTATGAAACACATTTACAGGAGACTTGGAAAATACAGAACAAAGTTACACACAATTCCACAGTATATTAAAATTATTTTTTTAAGTAGATAATTGGTTGGAGTTTCAATATCAAACTCTCAAAATTTAACAGAATGCATGGGCAGAAAAGTAGAAGGATGCAATAGACCTGAAAAGCACTATGAACCAATTCAACATAATTAAGATTTATAGGTCCAGTGGTAAGACTCCTTGCTTTCAATGCAGGGTGCTTGGGTTCAATCCTTGGTCAGGGAACTAGATCCCACATGCCACAATTAAAAGTTCACATGCTGCAACTAAAGATCCCACATGTTGTATCTAAGACCTGATGCACCCAGACAGATAAAGTTTCAGGCTTCCCAGGTGGTGCTAGTGGTAACGAGTCCATCTACCAATGCAGGAGTTGGATCCCGGGGTCGGGAAGACCCCCTGGAGGAGGGCATGGCAGCCCACTCCAGTGTTCTTGCCTGGAGAGTCCCGCGGGCAGAGGAGCCTGCTGGGCTACAGTCCATGGGGTTGCAAAGAGGTGGACACGGCTGAAGCGGCTTAGCATGCACGCATACAACAGCAGGACACAAACTCTGTTCAAGTTCCCAAAGACTATACACCAGGAGACACTGGAACGCACAGGGACATGAAGCCGGGCGCAAAAATTTCATGGTCTAAAGGTATTGAAATCATATAAAGTCTGTTCTGTTATCATGGTGCAACTATGTTAGAAATTAATGTCCAAAGATATCTGAAAACAACCCACATATTTTCAAGTGCAAGGTGACATTTACCAAGAGAGATCTTTGACTCAGCCATTGAAAGTCTTAATAAAGTTAAAAGACTGAAAAAACACAGAGAGTGACTGCAGAGAAGAAAGAAGTTAAATGAGAAATAAATACCAAAATGACCCCATGTATTTGGAAATTAAATGTCCACTGTTAAATGATGGATGTATCTAAGATGCCCTAACAAGGAAAATTAGAAAATATTTGTAACAGAATAAAAATGAAAAAAGAATTTATCAGAACTTATTGCATGCAGCTGAGGCTACTCAATGCAACTAAATACAATACGGAATCTTGAATAAGATATGAAAACAAATAATGGACACTGGCATAAAATTTTGTGAAATTTGGACAAAATAGGTACTTTTAACCCATTAGACTGAGCCATCCTAGCATCTTTGACTGGTCTATATGAATGCACTAGGGCTTCTGTCCTTTTGCTATAAAACTGAGACAAATGACTAGATAGAATTGCAGCAAATTGGAGGGTTATGCTTGGAATGATTGGACTTGAAATAGGCTAGACCCCTGCACATGAGTATGTATAGGTTGATACATACTTAAGTAGGTATCAACAAATCGCTACAGTATATTTTCGGAAACAAAGATGAAACGTTTTTCTAACTACCTGATCCTTCCAGAATTTGGATTCTCCAGTTGGCTCTCCTGTGGACTTGATGGTTTATTTCGACCGGATGACAACTAGCTATACTAATCATTGTTTTGATCTGTATCATTTATTTTGCCCATTTTATAAGATTGTCTCTTGCATTATCCATTGTGTAATCAGTCCTCTATGTATATGAGATGTCATCTCTATACGGATATAGAGATTCTAGGGTTGTTCAGTGCTTCCCTGATAACTCAGGTGGTGAACAGTCCTGCAATGCTCTGGTTGTTAACCTCAGCCGCCTACCAGGTGCCAACGACAGGCCCCCGCGCCGTGCCGCGCCCCAGGCCCCGCCCCACGACTCAGGCCCCGCCCCGCGCCCAGGCCCCGCCCCTCGCCGCAGGCCCCCGCCCCGCGCCTCAGGCCCACTTCCCTAGACTCCAGACTCCCGCTTTCCAGCAACTTCCCGGGACCTAAAGCCGTCTGGATCCTGGCTCAGTCCCCAGGAGAAGCCCAGCCAGACTCTGGCAGTTGGAAACCCCAGGCCGGCCTGATCCGGATGCTCGTTCACCGGCGGTACCCCGGCCCGGCATCGCACGAGCCAGCCTCCCGGGGTCCTTCAGGCCTTCGGCCGGGCAGCCCTCCTGAGGTCCTTGAGCGGTTGCGTAGCAGCTGCGGGGACGCGGGCAGAGCTGGATGCCGACTGAGGGGCGGTGGGCCTTGGGCTGACTGTCGGGGCCCGACACTGGAGGGAATCCGGGACTGGCGGGTTCCGAGGGCGGCTGGGGACCCTGAGGGCGACTGGGGGCCCTGAAGGCGGCTGGCCGTGGGCGGACCGACCTGCGGCGCCGCTAGTCTCCAGTCCTCGCTCGGGAACAGCCGAGGTGACGAAACCGCGCGAGTGGCGGCCTCGCCTGTGGGAAGCGCCCCTTCAGGGCCGTCCTCGGGCCCTCAGCTGGACGGAGGGCCCGGTGGGGGGAAGGAACGGGACAGTGGTTCTGGCGACGGTGGGAGGAGGGAGGCGAAGGCAGCCCATTCTGGCCAAGAGGTTGAGGTGCTCGAAAACTACTTGAGTGAAAGAGAGCTTATCCAGTGGGTCGCGAGACTATCGACAAGCATTGAAAGTCTTCGAGAATAGATTTGGCTCCAGCTGCAGGGTGGAGGTGGAAGGGGCAGCCCCTTATTATGCTTATCAAGCATCTGCCACTTCCCGGTCACTGCTCTTGAGGCTGAGGGTGCCTCGGTGAATAAGGCTGATTCCCTTCCTGAGCAGAAGCAATAGCATTGCGGTCAGGGAAACTCAGGGATCCTGTTGGTATTTTCCACCCTTGTGTGCATCTCTGTCATAGCTCTTGCCACAGCAGAGTTTTCCTTCGTGTCTTGTGTCCCGGTGCAAGATCTGCCCGTATTTAAGGCTCAGTAAATGCGGGCGCTGCTGCAGCATTGTTGCATCGTTGAGCTCAGTGTGTGGACTGTGGCACATTCTCAGTAATGTTTGTGAAGTTATTAATATTTTTGAGCGTGATGACGTGAGGATAGTGGAATAGATCTAGAGATTATGTTATACTTCGATGCTGGCATTGGGTGTCTGGTGATGTCTTGTACAGACAAGGGATGTGAAGAGTGATTTTGGAGTGGGCGAAGCTTAGGTTTCACAGGTCATTTTTGCCTGTGTGCAGTAGTTTGCTAGTCAAAACTCAGTAGGCAATTGCATACTTGAGGGGCGCGCGGTCTCTGTGGAGATGCAGATTTGGCATCATCAGCGTTTAGGAGATCCTTGAAACTAGTAGAGGTTGAAATTACCCTAGAGAAGAGGGCCTGGGAATGCCAGGTTTGGGAAAGGAAAAAACAGCTACTGATTTCAGTAGGATGGAAAATGAGGTGGAGGTGAGAAGCATGAGGTAGAGGATCGGGAAGAGACATCTTTGGTTGTGTGGTCTATCATTCAGCGGTGAGAATTCAGGCCCACACAATGTCTCAAATTGATTATGTGGTATAAGCACTGATTTTTGCCCCTGCTTTACAAGTGAGCAAATGTTTGTACGTAAAACTTGTAAAACTTCAACATGGTTTTAGAATAGTCTCTCCAGATGGGAGTGGGAGTTGTGGTCCTGAGCATAGCTGTAGTAAAGAGGTGACACAGGGTAAACCACTCTAAGAAGATCTTCTTGGGGACAAGATCACAACGCTATGGTTCAGCAAGTGCTAGCCAGGTTGGTAGTGAATAGAATAGGATATCAGTGTTTCCTGGGGCTCCTCTCTCATCAGGTCAGTCTCCCCTGTCCAAGAAGAGGAAGGGAATTTGGTTGAGGGGACTTCTCATCTCTTTACCAACAGCCTCTTCTTGATTTTTCCAGTGACAAGATCCCCCTCCCCTGAGCTGATGCCGTTTCTATAGCCAGGAGCCAATGGCCAGGGACAGAGCCAAACCCTGTGAGCTGGACCAGGAGAAATACGATGCTGATGACAATGTGAAAATCATCTGCCTGGGAGACAGTGCTGTGGGCAAGTCCAAGTATGTTGGAGGATTAGGGGAGCAAAGCCAGGCCCAGAACAGATCTGGGGTCTTAGAAAAGCCCTCCAGAGGCACAGAGGAGCATGGCTTCTGTGGATGTGGTGAGGGAGCCCAGGTGTGGGGGAACAAGGGAGCCTCCCATCAGCAGCTGTGTGTGTCTGGGGAGGAGGGTCAGAGAGGGCTGAGTCAGGACTGAGAGAGGTGAGCTTTACCTGTGAGTCCTGGCAGAGACTGCTGGAGCAGTTCTGGTGAGGTGAAAGCTGGGGTTTTCCTGTGTGTGGTGTGTGGGCTGAGATTTCAAGGTGCAGACAGTGGGAACAGGGAAAGGAAGGTGTGAAAAGTGACTAGCACAACCAGCAGCACGTTGAGGAAAGGTGGTGAGGAAACTTTCTTGAAAGAACTCACTGAGAAGAGTGGATAGAAATGATCACTGACTGTAATCGGCATAAAGATTGGCTCGATCATAACTGCAGTGCCTCTGTGCACAGGTGGGACTCCCCTGAGACTCTAAGGGAGGCTCTGCAGTGCAGCAGCCTGTCTCCACAAGGTGTGAGCCTGTTTGTCAGTTTCTGGGGCTGTGGGGCACTCATCCATTTCTGCCCCTGACCAGATACCTTGTTTAGTCTTATATCCCAGGAGCCCCAGTTCCACCTTGTTTTCCACTTTTATCTTTTATTAACATATCCTTGGAATCAGGGAGCTGTGAATAATTCCCTAGGGGCTTTGCTGGTTGGCACAGTGGTAACTTAACTTTTCTCAACCTCAACTCTATTTATTTTAAAAGATACCCCGGGAAAAGCAAAGCAGGAACTTGTAGCAGGAGTCCTAAACTTAAGCCTTCATCTCAATGCCCAGACTTTAGGTGGGAGCAGGGCTGTCACTGTAAAATGCCTAGGAAGGAACTCAAACTAACAATTTTCTCATCACAGGGCTCTGGCTGGAACTCTCAGTGCTGCGTTGAATAGAAGTGGCAAAAGCAGGCATCCTCTTATTTCTCACCTTGAGGGGAAGCTTTTAGTCTTTCACAACTGAGTATGGTGCTAACTCTGGGGTTTTCATCAGTTCAGTTCAGTTCAATCACTCAGTCATGTCCGACTTTTTGCGACTCCCACAGACTGCATCATGCCAGGCTTTCCTGTCCATCACTAACTCCTGGAGCTTGCCCAAACTCATGGCCATTGAGTCGGTGATGCCATCCAGCCTTCTCATCCTTTGTTGTCCCCTTCTCCTCCTGCCTTCAGTCTTTCCCAGCATCAGGGTCTTTTCCAGTGAGTCAGTTCTTTGCATCAGATGGCCAAAGGATTGGAGTTTCAGCTTCAGCATCTGTCCTTCTAATGAATATTCAGGACTGATTTCCTTTAGGATGGACTGGTTTGATCTTCTTGCAGTCTAAGGGACTCTCAAGAGTCTTCTCCAACACCACAGTTCAAAAGCACCAATTCTTCTGTGTTCAGCTTGCTTTATGGTCCAACTAGCTTTGACCAGATGGACCTTTGTCAGCAAAGTAATGTTTCTCTGGTTTTTAACATGCTGTCTAGGTTTGTCATAGCTTTTCTTCCAAGGAGCAAGCATCTTTTAATGTCATGGCTGCAGTCACCATCTGCAGTGGTTTTGGAGCCCAAGAAAATAAAGTCTCTCATTGTTTCCCCATCTATTTGCCATGAAGTGATAGGACCGAATGCCATGATCTTAGTTTTCTGAATGTTGAGCTTTAAGCCAACATTTTCACTCTTTTCTTTCATTTTCATCAAGAGGCTCTTTAGTTCTTCTTTGCTTTCTGCCATAAGGGTGTGTCATCTGTGGATCTGAGGTTATTGATATTTCTTCAAGCGGTCTTGGTTCCAGCTTGTGCTTCATCCAGCCCAGCATTTCACATGAGGTACTCTGCATAGAAGTTAGATAATCATGGTGACAGTATACAGTCTTGACGTACTCTTTTCCCATTTGGAACCAGTCCATTGTTCCATGTCTGGTTCTAACTGTTGCTATTTGACCTGCATACAGATTTCTCAGGAGACAGGTGAGGTGGTCAGGTATTCTTATCTCTAAGAATTTTCCACAGTTTGTTGTGATCCACACAGTCAACAGCTTTGGCATAGTCAATAAAGCAGAAGTAGATATTTTTCTGGAACTCTCTTGCTTTTTCAGTGATCCAACGGATGCTGGCAATTTGCTCTCTGGTTCCTCTGCCTTTTCTAAATCCATCTTGAACATCTGGAAGTTCACGGTTCACGTACTGTTGAAGCCTGGCTTGGAGAATTTTGACCATTACTTTGCTAGCATATGAGATGAGTGCAATTGTGCAGTAGTGTGAACATTCTTTGGCATTGCCTTTCTTTGGGATTGAAATGAGAACTGACCTTTTTCAGTCCTGTGGCCACTGCTGAGTTTTCCAAATTTGTTGGCATGTCGAGCGCAGCACTTTCATGGCATCATCTTTTAGGATTTGAAATAGCTCAACAGGAATTCCATCACCTCCACTAGCTTTGTTCGTAGTGTTGCTTCTTAAGGCCCACTTGGCTTTACATTCCAGGATGTCTGGCTCTAGGTGAGTGATCACACCATCGTGGTTATCTGGGTCATGAAGATCTTTTTTGTGTAGTTCTGTGTGTTCTTGCCACCTCTTCTTAATATCTTCTGTTAGGTCCATACCAATTCTGTACTTCATTGTGCCATCTTTGCATGAAATGTTCCCTTGGTATCTCTAATTTTCTTGAAGCGATCTCTAGTCTTTCCCATTGTCTTGGTTTCCTCTATTTCTTTGCATTGATCACTGAGGAAGGCTTTCTTATCTCTCCTTGCTGTTCTTTGGAACTCTCTATTCAAATGGGCATATCTTTCCTTTTCTTCCTTGCCTTTAGTTTCTCCTCTTTTCTCAGCTATTTGTAAGGCTTCGTCAGACAACCATTTGGCTTTTTGCATTTCTTTTTCTTGGGGATGGTCTTGATCACTGCCTTCTGTACAGTGTCACTAACCCCTGTCCATAGTTCTTCAGGCACTCTGTCTATCAGATCTAATCCCTTGAATCTATTTGTCACTTATGCGGTATAATTGTGAGGGATTTGATTTAGGTCATACCTGAATGGTCTAGTGGTTTTCCCTACTTTCTTCAATTTAAGTCTAAATTTGACAATAAGGAGTTCATGATCTGAGCCACAGTCAGCTACTATATAGAGCTTCTCCATCTTTGGCTGCAAAGAATATAATCAGTCTGATTTTGATATTGACCATCTGGTGATGTGCATGTGTAGAGTCTTCTCTTGTGTTTTTGGAAGATGGTGTTTGCTCTGACCAGTGCATTTTCTTGGCAAAACTCTGTTAGCCTTTGCCCTGCTTCATTTTATACTCCAAGGTCAAACTTGCCTGTTACTGCAGGTGTCTCTTGACTTCCTACTTTTGCATTCCAGTTCCCTATGATGAAAAGGACTTCTTTTTTTGGTGTTAGTTCTACAAGGACTTGTAGGTCTTCACAGAGCCATTCAACTTCAGCTTTTTCGGCGTTAGTGGTTGGGGCATAGACTTGGATTACTGTGATAATGGTTTGCCTTGGAAACGAACAGATCTTTCTGTCGGTTTTGAGATCGCAGTCAAGTACTGCATTTTGGACTCTTGTTGACTATGAGGGCTATGCCATTTCTTCTCAGGGATTTTGCCCACAGTAGTAGATATAATGGTCATCTGAATTAAATTTGCCCATTCCAGTCCATTTTAATCCACTGATTCCTAATGTCAGTGTTCACTCTTGCCATCTCCTGTTTGACCACTTCCAGTTTACCTTGATTCATGGACCTGACATTCCAGGTTCCTAGGCAATATTGTTTTTTACAGCATTGGGGTTTTCATATGTGGCCTTTATCCTAGAGGTGATTGCCTTCTCTTCTTATAGAGTGTTTTTGTCATGAGATGGTGACTGGTTTTTGTCAGTTGCTTTGTTTGCATTTATTGAGATGAATATGTGGAGTTTTTCCTTCATTCTATTTATATATGTTTGATTAATTTTCTTAAGTTGTACCACCTTTATATTCTGAGAATAAATCTCCCTTGGTGATGATGTATAACCCCTTTAATATGATTTGGTTTGCTAGTGGGTTTTTTTTTTTTTTTCCGATGTTCTGGGTCTTAGTTGCTGTGCATGGGCTTTCTCTAGTGCAGGGAGCAGGGGCTACTCTCTAGTTGAGGTATATGGGCTTCTGCTTGCGGTAGCTTCTCTTGTTACGTAGCATGGGGTCTAGAATGCAGGCTCATAGTGGTGCACGGGCTTAGTTGTCCCACAGCATGTGGAATCTTCCCGGACCAGGGAACAAACCTGTGTTCTCTGCATTGGCAGGTGGATTCTGAACCACTGGACCACCAGGGAAGTCTGCTAGTGGATTTTGGGAGGATTTTTACAACTAAAGCCATGAGGAATATTGGCCTGTAGTTTTCTTTTCTGATAGTGTCATCTGGTCTTGGAATCAGGGTACCACTGGCCTGTGGTAGAAATAATAGAAAGAATTATAAAGTGTTCCATCCTCAGTTTTTGGGAAAAGTTTGAGAAGAACTGGTATTTGTTTATGAAATGGTTGGTAGAATTCACTAAGGAAGTAATTCAGTCCTGGACCTTTAGTTACAGGGAATGTTTCAATGCTGATGTAATCTCCTTACTTGGTATAGGTCTACTCAGATTTTCTATTCCATTTTGAATCTGGTAGTTCATGTGTTTCTAGGAATTTGTGCACTTCCTCTAGGTTATCTAGGTTATTGGTGTGCAGTAGTTCATGGTGTTCACTGGTAATTGTTTTGTTTCTATAAGACTGATGTTATGCTCCCAGCTTTCAGTTCTGATTTTGATCATTTGTGTCCTCTCTCTTTTCTTAGTCTAGCTAAAGGTTTGTTGATGTTGTTGATCTCTTCAAAGAACTAATTTCTGGTTACACTGATACTCTCTGTTGTCTTTCTATTCCACATTCTGGGAATCTCCACTCTAATCTGTATTGTTTCTTTCCTTCTGCTAGCTTTGAGTTTAGTTTGGTCTTTCATATCTACTACCTTAAAATGTACAGTTATGTTGTTTATTTAATTTGCACTGTTTTGTGAATTTTCTGGTTTTCCTTCTGTTATTCTAGTTGCATTCCATTTTATTTGTGAAGATACTTTGTATAATCTCAGTCTTTTAAATCTTATTGACTTTTTTGTAGCCTAAGCTGAGTTCACTTGAGAAGAATATGTATTCTAGTGTTGTTAGATAGAGTATTCTGTATATGTTTGTTAGGTCTATTTGGTTTATAGTGTAGTTCAAAGTTCTCTGTTTCATTGTTCTATTCATTACTGAAAGTGGGATGTTGAAGTCTTCATGTATTACTGTGCAACTGTTTATTTCTTCCTTTAGTTGTGTCAATGTTGACTTCATATATTTTCAAACAACTTCATATATTTTGGAACAACTCTTTTGTTCTTCACATATATGTTTTAACTTTTCTATTGTCTTGACAGATTGATCTTTTCATCCATATATAATGTCCTTCATCTCTTGTAACATTTGTCACTTAAAAGTTTGTTTTCTCTGGTTGTAGTATAGCCATCCTAGTTCTCTCTTGAATACTGTTTGCATGGAATATCTTTTATCATTCTTTTGTTTTTCAGCCTCTTTTTGACCTTGTATCTAAAGCAGGTGTCTTACAGTTAGCACATACTTGTTATATATTTTTTAAATATACTCTGCCAGTCTCTCACTTTTAATTGGAGAGTTTTATCTATTCCCATTTACAACAACAGTAATTAAAGTTATTACTGATAAAGAAGAATTTACTTCTGCCATTTAACTATTTGTTTTATATGTCTCCTGTTTTATTTCTCAGTTACTCCATTACATTTTTTTTTAAGTTGATTTTTGGTAGTATACTGTTTTGAGTCTCTTCCTTTCATGTATAGTTTTTAAAATTTTTTTATTAATAGTTACCTTGAAGATTATAATTAATATCTAAAATTTATAACAGCATATTTGAATATCAATTTAATTATAGTAGTATACAAACACTCTGTCCCTTCCCTTTATATTGTTTTGTCACATGTTGCATCTTTATACATTAATTGTTCATTAACATAGATTTATAGCTATAATTTTATGTCTTTTGAATCACATAGGAGAAAAAAGAGGAGTTATAAACAAAGTATGAGAGTACTGTTTTTATATTTGCCTATGTAACTACCTTTGCTGAAGATACTTGTTTCTTTATATGGCTTCAAACTACTGTTTAGCCCTTTCATTTCAACCTGGAGGACTCATTGTACTGTTTCTTCTAGAACAGATCTGCTTATGAGCCACATCAGCTTATGTTTATCTGGGAGTTGTCCCAATTTTGCCTTCATTCTGAAAGGATAGTTTGCTGTGCATAGAATTCTTTGTTGACAGTTTTTTTCCCCTCAGTTTCAAATATATTTCCACTGCCTTCTGATCTCAGTGGCATCTGATGAGAAATCAGCTGTTTATTTTGTTGAGGATTTTGTCTTTCAGTTCCTATAATTTGCCTGTAATGTGGAACAGTGTGAGTTTATCCTGCCTGGGGTTTGTTCAGCTTCCCAGGTGTGTATATTCATGTCCTGCATCAGGTTTGGGAAGTTTTTAGCCATTATTACTTCAAATAACCTCTCTACCCCCTCCTGTCTTCTATCTATGATGCCTGTGTCAGGATGATTAATGCTGTCTTGTGGATCCTTAGGCACTGGTCATTTTCACTTGTTTTTCTTTCTGCTTCTCAGACTGGATGATTTCGGTTGCCTTAACTTCAAGTTTGCTGAAGATAAACTGTTTTTTGCCTTCTCAAGTGGTGTTGAAACCCTCTAGTGAGTTTTTCACCTAAATTATCCTGCTTTTCAGCTCCAGAATATCTGTTTCTTTTCATATTTCCTGTCTCTTTATTAATACTCTCATTCTGTTTATGTGTTGCTTTCTAATTTCCTTTAGTTCTTTGTCCTTGGTTTCCCTTAGCTTTTTGAGCATATTTAAGATAATTGATCTAACATCTTTGATTAGTCAAGTATCTGGACTTCTTCAGGTATTATTTCTGTCGATTCTTTTTTACCATGTGACTAGGCTATACCTTCCTGTTTCTTTGCAGGCTTTGTAATTTTCTGGTTTAGAATTAGACATTCTGAGTATTTTACTGTGGTGACTTTGTGTGTGTCAGTCAGTCAGTCGTGTCCAACTCTTTGCAACCCCGTGGACTGTAGCCCTCCAGGCTCTTCTGTCTATGGGATTCTCCAGGCAGGAATATTGGAGTGGGTTGCCATCTCCTTCTGCAGTGGTGACTTTGGAACTCAGACATTCCCATTCCTTGGGTATGGCTGATTTCTGCCTGTTTAGGGCTGGAGTGTCTACTTGTACCTTTTCCATACTTTTTACAAAGTGTTTATTCCTTCTTGTGTGTGGTCATTGATATTTCTATTCCATTATCTGTGGTCAGACAGTGACCTGATAAAAATTTCTTTAAATATTTGGCTCCAAAATGGGAAAGAAAAAAAGGGATAGTCTTATCTTGTTAAATTTCCAGTAGTTGCAGGGGAAGCCTCTGAAGCCTGAGAGAGCTCAGATCTGGCTCCTTGGGGATCTACCAGCTGATCACAACTTGCAAGACAAACTTTCTGAGGACAGTGTCTCCACTGCCAGCCAGACACGGGGAACACTGCTCACTGTATGGCTTCGGTGGGCCTGTGGTGTGTGTAGCTGTTGCTGGTTTGTGTGTGTTGTTCTTCTGCATAAGGCCAACACTCTCCTTTCATCTAGCACTATACTGGTTGTTGAGTCCAGTCAGGTTCCAGAGCTCTGAAATGGTTGATTCTGATCATTTTTTCCAGTTACCAGTTGAGGGAGTGACCCCTTGAACTTCCTACCCCACCATTTTGTGTAATGTCCTCAAGGTCCATTTTTTCCATACACAGGTATTCCGTTGTCTCCACACCATTCGTTGATAAAGCAGTCCTTTGTGTGTGTCCATGCGCTCAGTTTCTCAGTCATGTCCGACTCTGCAACTCCATGACTGTAGCTCACCAGGCTCCTCTGTCCATGGAATTATCCAGGCAGGAATACTGGAGTGGGTTGCCATTTCTTTCTTCAAAAATAATCCTTTGCCCCACTGAATTGCAGTAATGATTTTGTTCTAAATCCATTGACCATACATGTGGCTATACATATTTTAAGGGTGTGTTTATTGTCTGTCTGTCTGCCCCACTAGAATGTAAGCTTCACAAAACAAGAATTTTCATCTGTTTTGTTCAGTGTTATATGCTGGTGCCTAGCCTAGCATCCAGCATGTGGCAAGCATTCAGTAATTCTTTTTTTACGTTTTTGTACTAAACTATCTGTCCTGTTGAAGAACAGTTATGAAAATTATCATTTTTATGATATTAGATACAGTACTGCAGTGAATACTTTATGCCTATCATCTTGGGCACAAATTCTATTAGAGCTGGGTTGAAACTGCCCAGTTTTAGATTTAGCTCAAATTTTGAGTTATCCCGTTTTCTCTCCAAAGTAGTATGGTAGATTCTCACTCCTACAGCACAGTATAGGAATTTCTGTTGCTTCACAAAGTCCCTAACTTTGTGACTATCATGTGACTTTTTCAATTTTGTTACTCTAACGGATGAGTGTGCTACTTCATTTTATTTAATTTGCATAAAATCATTATAAGATTGAACATCTTTTCATGTTTGTTAGCTGTTCATCTGAATTGCCTATTCATATTCTTAGAACCAGGTTGTATGTGTGTTCTTTTATGTATCAGAGCTGTTCATGATTTCTGTATACTGATTCTTTGTCAGTGATTGGCATTGCACATGGCTTCTCCCAGTCTGTGAGGGGATTTTTTTGATTGTTTGTTTGTTTTTTCTTTAACTTTTCATTTTGAAATAACAGATTTACAGGATGTTGCAAAGAGAATACAGAGAGGGCCTGTGTATCCCTCACCTCCTGTCCCCATTGGTTCTCTCTTAAATAACCAGAGTACAAGATCAAGTGCAGGAAATCAGCATTTGTTCAATGCCTGTGTATAATTCTGTGTCACTTCATCATGTGTAGATGAGTCGAGATACACAGCTATCCCAGCACAGTGGGGGCCGAGGTCCTGCTGCGAGTTTGTAGCCACGCCTATCCCACTTCATCCTCTACCAGCCCAGCCCTGCCTCCACTAACATACTCCATGTCTGTGGTGGTGTCATCTTGGCAACACTGTATAAAAGGAGTTATATAACGTGTGACCTTTTTCACTCAGCTAATACCCTTATGATTCATTTAAACTGTTGGGTAGATCAGTAATTTGTTCCTTTTTATTGCTGGGCGGTAGTTCCTGTAGTAGACTACCACAGTTTGTTTATTCCCTAAAAGGAGTAAACTGGGGTCCCTGCTCACTGGAAAAGCACCTTTGGGTGCTGGTCAGTGTTATAGCCAAAGGGTGTCAAGAACTTACCCCAAGTCATGAAGAGAGTGGATGGGTGGTCTCTGGGCACTGTCTTTGAAAGGAAGCTTGTAGCTGAGGAAGGAACTAGAGGGGTAGCCATAGCTGGCTTCCGAGTGTCCCACCCCTGGGTGGCTCAGCAGGGCGAGGAGGAGGCAGGAGTGCTGAGGGATGTGGCTGACCGCCTTGCATGTTCTCCCTGCAGACTCATGGAGAGGTTCCTCATGGATGGATTGTATCCTTCAAGTTTGAAATGCTCCTTGTGGCCCTTTCTACTCCCATGCCAACTCAGCACCCCTGCGCCCCTGCCCCCGCTTTGCTCTAGGGGTCCAGGGAGGGGCAGCTGAGCGTGTGCAGACGGTTCATTCATGCTGGTTTCTTACCAGCTGACCCACGTGGCATGCTGCAGTATATTCTGAAGGTCACATCTGGATTTGCCTTATATTAGGGAGGCAGTGGAGTGGCTAACCACACCTCGTCCGATGCCTGGCCTGACACCTCACCTCCTCCTCAGCAGCTCTGGCAGTGGCTAAGTCACCTAACATCTCTGGCCTCAGAGCTTGAACTCTCTACAATTCAAAAATTCTCTGGTGTGCATCAACTTTCTGAAGAAGGATCTGCCAGCCCCACCCTCCTTTCCTGAATTGTCTTTGCTACGCAGGTTTGGAATGAGACAACTGGGATGATTTGTAAAAATCTTCCCAGGTGAGTCCATTGAGAACTATGGGTCAGCAGAGCCCTGGGCCTCAGCCTCCCACGGCAGAGTCTAAGTATATCTTTCTTCACCTTCTCCTAAGTTCTTTGCACTCACTCACCTGTGTTGTCCCAACTCTGACAACTTGCAACTTCAGAAAGTCGTATTCCCCATGCTTTTTGTTAGGGTTTCATACACAGACAAACTGCAATCCACAAACAGCTTGTCAGCTAGCTGTCTTAAGAAGGAGGCTTGTTTTCCCTGGAACTGTTATGTTGCTTCATATGGCTGGGTTTGCTGTATGTCTGCAAGAGCCCCATCCATAAAGAGCTGGGGCATCCACAGTGGCATTTGCCAACTACGTGATGCTGCTTCGGACAGCTGCTCTGTAAACGTCCATTCCACATTTTCCCTTGTACTCAGGTGGCCAGGACATAATCCCAGCCTCTCCTGCCCCTCACTTTTCATGGAGATTGTGCCTGTGATGTTTGAGGTTGAGGTTGGTCCTCTGTCTGCAACACATTCAATTTAAAATCTGAATAACTTTCTAAAAGAGAGAGGCTCCATTCCGTCATACCAGCAACCACCCCCTAGCACCTTTCTTATGCTTCTTTTTATTCATTGTTTTCCTTAACCTAAATGCAGTCAGCCCCAGCAGCTGTCCACATACGCCCTGACCCTGTACAAGCACACGGCCATGGTAGATGGCAAGACCGTCCTTGTGGGTGAGCAGCACAATGCTGAGCCGCAGCGGCTCTCGAGAGGGAGGAGAAGGGCTGGGGAGAGAGTCAGGTGGGGGATCCGAGAGCCCAGGCTCAGATGAGGGGTGGTAGGTGCAACCCACAGCCGAGAAGCAAGGGTAGGTGGAAAGAAGCATGCAGGGCTCTATTCCGGTTCTCTTCAGTCAGGAAAATAACAGGTGTTGTCCAAGTGTTGTCTTCCACAAAGGTTTGGCTTTAAGTGGGGTTACGGCCTTTCCCTTGGCCAGGCCACGCATCTGTCTCTGTGCCCAGCACTCATGGGAATTGGGTCTGGTTTTGACCTCGGAGGGTCCTGCATCTTATTGGGTGGGGGAGGCCAGGCGCTGAACCTCTCCCTCGTGGGGTCTCCTGTCTACGTTCTCCTTCCTCCTGGCCCCCATCTCCCTCGGCTGTCCTCCCCGCCGCTGCAGAGATGCTCAGTGTCCGGGCTCTCTGCCTCTCTGCCCCCGTCGGGCAGTCAGAGCTGTGTTCATGTTGCAGACTTTTGGGACACAGCAGGCCAAGAGCGGTTCCAGAGCATGCACGCCTCCTACTACCACAAGGCCCACGCCTGCATCATGGTATGAAACCAGCTGGGAGGCAGAGGCTCTGCGCAGGTCTGGCCTGAGGGGTGAAGGGATGGGGGCCTGAGCCCTCCTGACCAGGGCTGGGTGCCAGGGGAAGGTTCAGGGCAGGCTTCAGACTGCAGAGGTTCTGCATGAGAGCCTGCCTGGGCCAGCGTCTCATCTGGGGTGAGGGTGAATGGGGTTTGTGGCACTGCCATTCCTTCAGGAGGAGCAGGTTCAGGGCCTGTCAGCCGTCTCAGAGCCAAACACAGCCCCTCCCTAGTGGAGCCATGGACTGCTTTTTCAGGTGCTCCTGTCCTGCCCTTGTGCTTAAGGTACAAAGTCTCATCAAATCTTCCAGAATTTAATGCTAGTACCTATACAGAGGGGCTTCCCTGGTGGCCCAGTGGTAGTGCAAGAGGTTCAGGTTTGATACCTGGGTTGGAAAGTTTCCCTGGAGAAGGAAATGGCAACCTAATCCAGTCTTTTTGCTTGGGAAATCTCATGGACAGAGGTGCCTGTTGGGCTACAGTCCATGGTATCTCAAAGAAGTCAGACATGATTTTGTGACTGAACAGCTACAAACTGTACATGGACGAAATGAAATGAAAGGGTGAGGGTGAGGCAGATGGGGCGGGCTGGCGCCCGCGGGCGTGGCCTCTGGCCTGTGACGCGCGTCTGTCAGCCCCTGTGGCCCTCTTCTGTCCTGTCAGCCTGCCCGCGTACCTGTGTCTGCCCGCGCCTCTCACCAGCCCCAGTCTGCTGTAAGGGCCTTGGCCATGTGGGGACCTGATCGCCCCGGAGGGAGGAGGTCTGCCCGCCACTTTGAAACAGCGTAGGCTGTGCTGCTCAGCCTAACCAGCTCCTCCTCAGCTCAAAACAAGGAAAGGAAGCTCAGGAAACTAGACCTGGGTAAAAGGTCTGATGGTGATCGTGGCAGGAGTGAAGCAGATTCCAAAGGTTTCACTACAAGCATATTTTAGAAGAAGTCTTTTCTGGGAATTCAGTCAAACATGGTCATTTATTGAAGTCGGGCCTGGGGAGTACCACATAAGAGCTTCTCAGTAGACCTGCTGCTGCCTCAGGCGGGTCAGCTGCTGACTGGAGCCCGCGGCTGTGCAGGGGGAGCCCCTGTCCTGGCCACGGCTGCTCCCGCGAAGGGCTGCGTTGTCTTGAAGTAAGATTTGCCGTTGTAGCAGGGTACATAGCCATCCCTCTCAACCCACTGTTGTGCTGGGGCAGTTTGGACCTGCGAGTCTATTCTGGGAGATGGCTTAGCGGCAAGCAGCTGACCTCCGGGGAGTTCCTCTGAGGAGCTGGAAGGATGCTTGTAGTGGCCACTTGAAGCATCTTAGGGCTTCTGGCCTGCTCGTCCTTAGAGCTAGTCAGTGTTCATACTTCTTGCTGATATTTTAATAGGTAAACAGTATAAATTACGAACAGTTGATAAAATGATAAGCTGCAAAATAATAAAAGATAAAAGTTACTCTTTAAAAGTTTAAAATATAAAATTAAAAGTTTATAATTAAAGGTGAAACAACTGAAAGGGTATTCTGCAAACATTTAAGATTATCATAAAGGAGTTTTAAAAAAATGGATAGGCAGTAAGTAGACTAAGAAAAGAACCAAAAAACTTTCAGTGTTCACAGACTTATCAGTGGTACAATAAGTAAAATGATACTCGGGTTAAAATAGGTAAATTGGGTGGCAGGCTGAAGGTTCTCACGGGATTCTCGGAAGTGTGGGTGAGGCTTGTGGTCAGAGGGGCCACAGCTCGGAGTGGTTCTTCAGTTCCCAAGCCTGTGCTTGCTTGCGTGTGTGTCACCTGGGGCTGGGGGGTGTGGAGAGACATCGATGCACTTGGGCGGTCTTCTTTCCTCTGCTGATTCAGGTATTTGACGTGCAGAGGAAAATCACGTACAAGAACCTCAGCACCTGGTATACAGAGCTTCGGGAGTTCAGGCCAGAGATTCCGTGCATTGTGGTGGCCAATAAAATCGATGGTGAGGCCACCCCTACATCCTGGTGCCAGCAAATCATGGGGGAACCCACCGTCACACGTGTCGTCCTCCTTTCCTGGGCCATCAAACCATCAGTGATCTGTTCCTCCCAAAATAGATCCCTTGGCTGCTTGCCATCACTCCCCTTCCAGTAATATCCACGTGAGCCAACCTGCCTCCTTGAGACACAGATCCCAGCTGAATGAGCTGTTTCTGTGACATGTCTGCTGATTGTCCCTGCTTGTCCCACTTCATGGAATGGGGACCTCCAGTGACCTACCCTTCAAAACTCTCCTTTTTCCTGGGTAGACAGGCCAGTGTCCTACCTTCTCTCTACAGCAGACATGAAGATGACCCAAAAAAGTTTCAACTTTGCCAGGAAGTTCTCCTTGCCTCTGTACTTTGTCTCAGCTGCTGATGGTACCAACGTTGTGAAGGTAATAGGAGACTGCAGAGATGGTCTAGTGAGGTGGGGAAGGCCTGACGTTTCTGGGGAAGTGGTGGAGAGAAGGGCTGGCTGCAGGGCTGTTGGTGAGGACAGCATTGCTGGGGGCCCTGGTGAACGGGAAGGGGTCATTGTGAGTGTTGATAGTAGGGGAGGTGATGGTTTGGGCTTGGTGAAGAAAAGGCATATTGACCAGCATGGGATCAGGGGACAGGGGAAAAGGGGATGATTTTAGGGTGGAGTATTGTGTGGACACGTGATGACGATGGGCCAGTGGTGCAGGGCAGGCAGAGTCCCAGCCATTGGTGCCCATAGCCTTGTTTTCCTTCCCACCACCCCAGCTCTTCAATGATGCAATTCGATTAGCTGTATCTTACAAACAGAACTCCCGGGACTTCATGGACGAGGTTTTGCAGGAGCTTGAGGTAGGTCTGGCACACATGTCAGGTGGCATCGAGAAAACGGCTTCTCTCCATAGGGGTGCAGAGCTAACTCAGTAGACCTGACTTGGCAGGCAGCACATTCTCGTGGGCACGGCCCCTAGAGGTGTCAGAGCCTCAGCTGGGCACATGTAAGGCCAGGCCTCACCTGCCGCCTTGTTCACAGAACATCGACTTGAAGCAGGAGGAGGAGGAGGAGATGCCGGACAAAGAGCAGCCTGGCCGCATCCAGAGCCCGTCTCCCTCCTGACCACAGGAGGCCTCTCTACGGCCCACCTCCCTTGGCAGCCCTTCAACTCTCAGTGGCGGCACTCTCCCAGGCCGTCCCCTGCTACACCTAGAAACCCAGCTGTCCCATTTGCACCCTCCAACCCCGACTTACATGGCCCAGGAAACCTGATCCTTCAATACATGCCACTAACAGGTGTAAGGCCCATACCAGACCCTGAAACCAAATTAGGGATGGACCCTCCAGGTCATATGGGACAGTAAAGAAAATCGGAATATTGTCTGTATGTCTCATCAAGGATATTTAGGTGTCTTCCCCCTGCCCCCTCAGGAGCTGATGTCAGGGCCTATTCATTGCATTTCCACCAAGAGGATGATTTCTAATTCCTGACTTTCCTCTTTAGGCTCCCAGCTAAACAAGTCATTTTAAGAATGATTTTGAGCAGAGAGCTGTTTGTTCCATAAGTTTTTCTAGAGCTTTTCTGGATATGGCCAGTGCTTTGATGAATAGTGAGGCTAAGATCACAGGCCCAAGTTTGCTGTTAACATCAAGTGAAAGCAGGTGACCGGTCTGGCCACACAGTAACACAAACATCATTGTTGTGAGCATCAAGGGTCAATACAGCCACATCACAAGGCATGCATGATAAATTGACTTGGAAGCTTCTTTTAAAATCCATATTTCAACATAGGCTTTTCTTAATTTTTCTGAGAACTAGTGTGGGCAGTGAACCTCCTTGGTTGGCAAGGGCTGCTGAGAACTGTTGTGCTGCCTTTTCCATTTATCTCCAGGACTTGTCGCTCACTAGAATGCTTTTATGATCATCTTGTATATCGTTTCCATTAAAAATTTTTTTACAATAAAGATTGAATTACAGAAACATTGGGTCAATGTGCCTGCTTTGTGGGTATGGATTCTTTTTTTAAGCAAAAAGTCACAAAGGAATGAGTGGACCAACAGCCACATTAATGGGGGGGAGATGGCCATATTTGTCAAGCAGGGGTGACCAGGTTCACTGTGTTTATTGACACAGAGATCATTTCAGTGGAATTTAGGGTTTTAAAAGAATGGGTATTTGTTTGGGAATCAAGAACAAACATTTTTACTCTTTAAATTATTGATGCTTGCAATTTCAACTTAAGAAATGTAACCTGAATTCAGGAATGTGTTACCCTGGTGAGATGGGCTTTTAAAAACAAGAACAACAACAACAAAAACCTTTATTATAAATGAATAATGTGTTTAGAAAATAATGGCTTCGTTGAGATATGATTCAAAGACCATAAGATTCACCATGAGTATTGGGCTTACATAACCATTTTGCATCAGTTCTCATAGAAGCAAAGCCTGAGAAGACAAATCTTGGTTAGATGAATTATTGGGGCAGTTCTCTGTCTTTGCTAGGGACCAGCTTCAGCCTGCGTCTCCCTGAGGGAACTCTGAGGACAGACTGTCCCGCAGGGTTGATCCCACTTTGAGACCAGGGGGATTTTTGTGCCAGTTAGCACAGTGTGTGAAGAGGAACAGGTAGAAGGGATGACGTGTGGTGTCTAGCTCAAAGTGGCTCCTGTTTTAGCAAGGGCAGGTCTCTGGGGAAAAGGCAGCTATGAGTTCAACACTCAAAGCAGATAGGGGAGAAGTGCTCAGGTGGGGTGTCAACAACATCCATGGCCACGTAGCCCCACATTGCTCAGCTCCACCTGCCTCTTAAAGGTCATTTCATTATGACACACAGGAAGACCACCCTTGAATCTTCTTTAATATGTTACTGAAGTGAAACTTACATAACAAAGTTATCATGTTAAAGTACACAAGGCGGTGCCATTTAGAACAGTTTCATTGTTGGGTGACCATCAGTTCAGTTCAGCTGCTCAGTCGTGTCCGACGCTTTGCGACCCCGTGAATCGCAGCACACCAGGCCTCCCTGTCCATCACCAACTCCCAGAGTTTATTCAAACTCAAGTTCATCGAGTCGGTGATGCCATCCAGCCATATCATCCTCTGTCGTTCCCTTCTCCTCCTGCCCTCAATCCCTCCCAGCATCAGGGTCTTTTCCAATGAGTCAGTTCTTTGCATCAGGTGGCCGAAGTATTGGAGTTTCAGCTTCAGCTTCAGCCCTTCCAATGAATATTCAGAGTTGATTTCCTTGCTGTCCAAGAGACTCTCAAGAGTCTTCTCCAACACCAGAGTTCAAAAGTATGAGTTATTTGGCGCTCAGCTTTCTTTATGGTCCAACTCTCACATCCATACATGACTACTGGAAAAACCATAGCTTTGACTAGACAGACCTTTGTGGGCAAAGTAATGTCTCTGCTTTTTTTTTTTTCCATTTATTTTTATTAGTTGGAGGCTATTTACTTTACATCATTGCTTATGTATTCCCCATCCCAGTCCCCCCTCCCACCTCCCTCTCCACCCGATCCCTCTGGGTCTTCCCAGTGCACCAGGCCCGAGCACTTGTCTCATGCACCCAACCTGGGCTGGTGATCTGTTTCACCCTAGATAATATACATGTTTCGATGCTGTTCTCTTGAGACATCCCACCCTCACCTTCTCCCAGAGTCCACAAGTCTGTTCTATACATCTGAGTCTCTTTTTCTGTTTTGCATATAGGGTTATCGTTACCATCTTTCTAAATTCCATATATATGTGTTAGTATACTGTAATGGTCTTTATCTTTCTGGCTTACTTCGCTCTGTATAATGGGCTCCAGTTTCATCCATCTCATTAGAACTGATTCAAATGAATTCTTTTTAATGGCTGAGTAATATTCCATGGTGTGTCTCTGCTTTTTAATACACTGTCTAGGTTGGTCACAGCTTTTCTTCCAAGGAGCAAGTGTCTCAATTTCATGGCTGCAGTCACCATTCGCAGTGATTTTGGAGCCCAAGAAAATTAAGTCTGTCACTGTTTCCATCGTTTCCCCATCTATGTACCATGAAGTGATGGGACCGGATGCCACGATCTTCATTTTCTGAATGTTGAGTTTTAAGCCAGTTTTTTCACTCTCATCTTTCACTTTCATCGAGATTTTAAAGTTGTTACAAAGAGTGGCCACTAGGCGGCAGCATTTCTTCATGCCCAACTCTGGCTCCTCTCGCAGGCAGAGCCTTAAGGAAGATCCTGTGGCCAGATCGTGGAGGGCAGCGCGCCGGAAGACACGCTCAAGGCTTGTGTCTCATCTCATTCTTTCTTCCCCTTCCCCTTTATTCCCCAAAGCACATCCCAGTTCCTGGAACACCACTCTGTGGAGGGTGCTATCACCGTAGGTAGGGCGACCATAAGCTGGCGGGGGGGATCCCCAGCCCAGAGGACACATGGATCCCAGGGAACTTTTCAAAGCTCTTCCAGTCCAGAGGCTCCACCGTTCTTTGGATGCAGTAGGCTTGGTTTCTCTGCCGGAGGGCCCGCCTGGATCCAGAGACTGGGGACTCAGTCTCAAAGTAAGAAGCACTCCAGGTCCATCGTGAGGACACATTGCCTGCCTCATCCTCCCAGCTCCCTCAGCTCCACTCTAGCCTTGGTACCAAAGCCTGCTCTGGCTCCAGGGATGTGATACCAGCCCAGGTCACCATGGCCTAAAGGAATAGAGTTAGCATTTCTTGTGTGTTTTCTTTTTCTACCTTAAAAAAGTTTGAAGTTTTTTAAAGATGAAGTTTTCTATATAGATATAGAACAATGCTGTGGGTGGTTGGGTGTTTTTTTTTTTTTTCCTCCTTTTTGATCTGTAGCAACTTGATTCCCTTATGCAGAGATGTATGTATTTTCTTGTTTGGGTTCTTTTCTTATATAGGTTATTATAGGGTGTTGTGTAGGATTGCATTACACAGTGGGTCCTTGTGGCTTATTTTATAAATAGTAACATGCATATGTTAGTCTGAACCAGCTCATTTTTCCCTGCCCCACACCTTTCTTTTTTGGTAACCCTTAGTTTCTTTTCTAAGTCTGTGAGGCTGTTTCTCTTTGGTAGAGAAGTTCATTTGTATCCATTTTTAGATTCAATCTAGAAGTAATATCACATGATACTTGCCTGTCTCTCCTACCTCACTTAGTATGATCATCTCTACATTTCCTTTTTTTTTTTGCTGAGTAATATTACATTGTGTTTATGTACCTCATCTTCTTCATCCATTCATCTGTCCTTGTAACTACTACGCTGTAATAACATGGGTACCAGTGTCTTTTAAAATTTTGGTTTTCTCTGGTTCTATACCCACGCATAGGCTTGCTTGGTCCTAAGGTACTTCTTTTAGTTTTGTAAAAGAACCTCAATATTGTTCTCCTTAGTGGATGTAACAATTTAAATTCCAAGAACAGTGCAGAAGTTTCCCTTCTCTCTATACCGGCTCCAGCATTTCTGGTTGGAGACTGTTGAGATGGCCATTCAGACTGGTATCTCATTGGACCAGTTTGCCTTTCTCTAAGTAAAGTAATGCCAGCAAAGTAATGTTTAAAAGTAATGCTCATGGCTTCAACAGTCCATGAACCGAGAACTTCCAGATGTTCAACCTGGATTTAGAAAAGGCAGAGGAATCAGAGATCAAATTGCCAACATCCATTGGATCATAGAAAAAGCAAGAGAATTTCAGAAAAACATATACTTCTGCTTTATTGACTATGCCAAAGCCTTTGATTCTGTGGATCACAACAAACTGTGGACAATTCTTCAAGAGATGGGAATACCAGACCACCTCACCTGCCTCCTGAGAAACCTGTGTGCAAGTCAAGAAGCAACAGCTGGAACCAGACATGGAACAATGGATTGGTTCAAAATTGAGAAAGGAGTACGTCAAGGCTGTATGTTGTCACCTGCTTATTTAACTTATATGCAGAGTACATCATGCGAAATAACGGGCTGGATGAAGCACAAGCTGGAATCAAGATTTCCGAGAGAAATATCAATAACCTCAGATATGCAGATGACACCACCCTTATGGCAGAAAGCTAAGAGGAACTAAAGAACCTCTTGATGAAAGTGAAAGAGGAGAGTGAAAAAGTTGGCTTAAAACTCAACACTCAGA